CTTACTTGTTTCTTTATGGCAACACACAAACAATAAGTTAATGGACTTCGACGGACTATGCCTGTCGTTAAAGTTATGCATCCTTTAGTTTCTGCAACTTTAATCCATTCAACTTCATCTCCATCTAATGCACGTACTGGAACCAGCCGTACATGACGTTGTTTTCCACTTAAAACTACTATTAATTGTTCTTCTGTTACATATTCCAGTAAATATATTTTCTTGCCTTCCCCTACTCTTGCAATTTCTTTTAAATATAACATACAAATTAATTATAATAATATAATTCTTTTATATATATATATATATATATATATATAAAATAAAACATACCGCTACGATCTAAATCTAAACAGAAGAGACCTTCTTCTGTACCAATGACTAGACGATCTGGATCAATAATAGTTCCTGACATCACATTTTTAATGAGCGCCAATGTATTATCTAATAATTCTTTTGCTCTAAAAATCTACAAAATAAAAAATAATAAAATCATTGATAAATTTTATTATTATCGATTAATTAATCGATATTTTTCTAATATAATAAATATATATATTGTTGTAATGTATTTACCGTTGTATTAGGAAGATTATTTTTTTTTAGTATTCTATGCAATTCACTTAAAGCAACTACCCATTTTGTTTTTTCACTTTCAGTGTCTGCAAGCATTAACGTATGATTTCTTAAACCAGGTGGTTCTAACAGAGATGTTGTTATCTAAAAAAATATGAAATAAAAATAAGTCATAAAGAAAATAATATATTAAAAAATGATAATGAAACATTTTAGAAATTACCCTAAATATGCATGGAATATCTTTTTTTGTAGCATGTATGACATCTGAATCTCGAACGGAACTAACGCTAAATTCTTCATCACGCATATCCAAGACTTGAGACACATAAACAGATGGTAATGCATTACGATCTGGTGAAATATCATAAAGAAATAATTTAAAATCGCAAACCACCACGAATTGACGAACCCAACCCTTTTTTACTCCACCCATTTTTGGCACTTTAACATATCCTTCATATGCTGTACCTATTCCTCGTGTAGGATCAATACCTAATGGTCGTTTTGCTGAAAAAAATTATTTATTATCACCTTTTTATGTATTTAAAGTATTAAATTTTTTCAAATTAAAAAATTTCTTCAAATATTTGAATTATATGAAATGATTTCCTAAAAAACTTACTTTGATCATGTGGTACTGGGCACATTGGTGGAACTTTATCACAACAAGGCATATGACATGCAAAACCACATACTTCACATACTACTCCTTGTCTCGTTAAACCTACCATCAGTGAAGTACAATGATTACATTTTGTAGGTGTTGAAAATGTTCTTACTAAAAATTGATGAGATTTTGGTTTTGGTTGAATATTGGTTTGTCCATGAGATGTTGATGATTTATTGAGAAGTTCATGGGATAATGGTGATGTTGGATCCTAAAATTTGATATATATTAAATTTCAAAAAATATTTAATTTTATTTATAATTATACTTACAATACTAAGTTCAGATAAATTGCTTTTACTACTGGAAATACTCGGTGCACGATTATCCTCAATATCAGCTTCCACACTATCTGCACTTCCATGACGTGTACTACTTGCGGTTTCTTTCAAAAAATGTTCCAAATATGACATTTGAGATGTAGGACGTTCTAAAACTAAAATATAAAAAGATTATATTATAAATTAATATAATAAAATTAATATAAAAAATATTTTAATTATAGAATGTTGAAATTATTTTTAATGTTAAATTATTAAAAACAGAAATATCTGTAATATTTTTATCTATAATTATTAAGATATAAAAAATATAAAAGTAAAAAATTATGTTTTTTTCTAGAAAATAGATATTTTTCTTTATAAAAAATCAATATAAATTTTATAATATTTTTTTTTCAATATTTTAATATAATCACTGCACTCCAATTCGCACCACACAAATTTGTTAAAATAGTAATCATTATTATGCAGATAAAATGATTGTTCATCAGCAAGAATAGCAAGCATGTAGTAAAATATATCAAAAAATCAATCAATCAAACAATCTAAAGGCGAAAACATTTAGACACAACATACCTGTTAATCATTTAATTACAAAACTGATTATCAGCTACTAAAATTAACAAAGGACAACCATCACCTAAAATGATGAAAGACTACTAACACTATTCTTAATCAAGAAATGATTATTTTCAACATAACAGGAAACACATAATAGATTTTCAAGATAATTGACATTATCTCTAAACTTAACACAGAGCTATGTTTTAAATAAAAGTAATGTATCTTATTTTTTTTCAAAAAAAAAAAAAAAAAAATTTTTTTTTTTTTTTTTCAAAAAAAAAAAAAAAAAAATTTTTTTTTTTTTTTTTCAAAAAAAAAAAAAAAAAAATTTTTTTTTTTTTTTTTCAAAAAAAAAAAAAAAAAAATTTTTTTTTTTTTTTTTCAAAAAAAAAAAAAAAAAAATTTTTTTTTTTTTTTTTCAAAAAAAAAAAAAAAAAAATTTTTTTTTTTTTTTTTCAAAAAAAAAAAAAAAAAAATTTTTTTTTTTTTTTTTTTAAAAAAAAAAAAAAAAAAAAAAAAAAAAAACATTTAATGTTTTACAATATTACATTATAAGAAAATATTTCAATATATATTAAATATAATATTACATAATATTATCTATTAAAAAAACATAGCACTATGTTTTGTAATTAGCATCCCAGTTGACTAGTCAATCAAAATCGCGTTTTGTTGCCACTTCATTTACCAGGTGGCGATATGATGTCGACGGCATTCTGACTGATGAATGTGTTGACGGGAACGAATCTAGTTAATAAGCGACATGTCGTGACGCGGGGAGCACGCATTACTGGTAGGGGTGACGATGGCTGATGTACGATGATGCGTTGGGATTTGGTGCTAACGATGTTTGGAGATTTTCTTGACGTTTTGCTGGATAGGACAGCTGTCACAAATACAGTTTGAAGATGAGCAACAAGAGGCCCCAGACACAGCTCGTTACGCCAATAAACAGAGGTACTTTGTAGTCTAGAAATCAGAATCGCATACCGTACCGGAGAACCGAATTACTATGCTGGATAGGTATCCAAATAGTAACGATCTCTATTATTGGTAAAATAAGTATTGGCAATAGATTTATATCAATTATAAATATAGAAATTCTTAAGTATATCATATACAATATAAAATATCTTATATAAAATAAAATATTAAAACAAAATAAATCAATAATAATTTAAAAAGAGAATATACATACTCAATTCATATTTGTATATAATATTTATCAAATTTAACATATTTTGAAAGTATATTCAATTTTTTATGACATTGTTAAAAAAAATTCATATTTTTAATTATATATCTGTATGCATTATATTTATATTTATAATTATGTTTTAAAGTACATTTAAATATAAATTTAGAAATACACACCAAAACTTCTAACATTTATAAAAAATATTAAGAAAATGAAAAAGATAATCACACACTGACTCATACAATTTAATATCAAGCCATTAATTAAACTAATGCAAATTATGTACAAAAATAAATAATATTTAATTATATATTAAAATTTTTATATTTTTCTATTAAAATTGAAAAAAACTATTAAATCATAGTTATAGCTTTATAATGGCTTGTAATTTTAGTTATAATATAAGAAACATTCTACATAATTATAAATTTATGCATAAATATGCAACTATAAAGAATCATGTATTTCATCCATGCATCTTCACAACAAACTTTTATTATTTATGTTAATTGATATTTATTTTTATTAGAAAAAAAAGAGTTAATAAGCAAATTTTAAAATTTTATGTTGATAGAAGTATGAATGCTATATATGATTCCTGTTATATATTTTATAACAATTTTTAATTATATTTGATTTTTACTATATGCATGCAAATTGAATTACTAAAAAACACATTTATATAAAAACATTTTTGGTATTTAAATCACATATTATATTATATATCCAATATATAAATATATATCTATTTATCTAATAAATAAATAAAATTCTGCACCTATTTATTATCAACATTTAATTATATTTAAAATATAATTCGTGCCACAAAGAACTTAGAATAAACAAGAACAATAAGTTTGCAAAATAAAACAATGAATAAATATATTATCGTCTAAACACTGTATAAGAAAGATTAAAAGATTTACAAATTACATACATAGCATGTATTGCAGCAGTTTGTATAATAATAGTTGATACAGAATTTTTATAAAAACGTAACAATAAGATTTTTAAGAAATTTGTTTTTGTATTAAATGAAATATACTTACAGCCATCACCTGTGTCAAGCCTTGCTTGTAATTCTTTTATTTGCATTTCTTTACGTTTTATTTCATGTGTGAGTGTATCGAATCGTTGTCTAAAGTCTCTTAATTCCCTAAATAAATAATGATATAGAATTATTAAATTATATTAATAATAATTAAACAAAAAATTTTATTATATTATTAATTTGTTATTACTATTACATTAATTTTTATTATCAAAATTTGTTTTAAAGATAATTACTTTTGAGCAGCAATTAAATCTGAACGCGTTTTTGTAAGCTCTTCAGATATTGCTTGTTTAGCTTGTATTTCGCTTTGTAAAGAACTTTGTAAATTCAAAAGTTCCATTTTATCAAGTTTCTGTGATCTACGATTTCGCCAATTTTTATCCGCCATTGTAGATCCACTTCCTACACCACCCACACCACCAGAATGTTTTAGAAATTCTAATTCTTCAGTCATTTTCGTAGCTAATGCCTAAAATTTTTTTAATATATAACTAAATAATTTTCAATACATGTAATTAAAAAAATACACTTTCTAAAAAAAAACAAACCTGCAAATATCCTCTAGCATCTTTTTCATCAGATACCCATTGAATAATTTCAGTAATCTGAGCTTCCCATTGTGCAATGGCTTCCTTTTTATTTCTTAATTCTTCATATTCTTCTTCTAATTGTCGCCTTTCACCTTGTATTCTGTTAACACTATCAGTAAGAGTGTTAAGTTCTAACATAAGTTTTTTATTTTCTTCGACTAGCATAATTTTTTCTCTTTCATGACGTCTATTTAATTCGTTTATAGTTTCCTCGCTATCAGTAATATTTTCTAATCTTGCAGTATCTAATTTTTCTTTCGTTAATTGAACTTCTCTTTCCAGCAAATCTCTCCTTGTTTCAGTTTCATGTAATTGTTCTTGAAGACTACGAATTTCAAGATTGAACCTACTTTGCTGTTGATTTAAATTTTCATTGTATTGAACTTCAAGTTTTTCAACTTCTGCTTTTAACCTATTAATCTCTTGTGTTGCTAATGCATGATTTGCACCTGCATCATTTCCCATAGATCTTTGTCTAATTTTTTCTGTTTCTTCTTGCATTTGCTTACAATATTCTTCACTACGTTCTCTTAATTTTCTTTCTTTACTTGTTTCAGCCATAGCTTCTTCGACTCGATTTTCTAATTCTCTTCGTAACTTTTCAGCTTTTCTAATATCATGTCGCAAACTATCAACTTTTTGCATTACAACTTCTAATTCTTCTTCTTTATCTCTAACTTGTCTAGATAATTTTTGTTTCTGTTGTCTTAATTCGGATAATTTATCTGTAACTTCAGTATATTCAGCCATTGCTAGTTTACGTTGTGTTAATGCATCTTTTAATTCTTTATCTTGAAGTTTAAGTTTTTCTTGTGCATCTAATTTATCTTTAATAGCTTCTTCTTTTTCTAATCGAAGAGAACGTACTAATTTTTCTAATTCTCGTAATTTTGTTATATCACCGTTATCTAAATTACGTAATTCACGGGGAATTTCCATGGATTTTAATTGTGATTCCAATTCTAAAAATATAAGTATAAAACAATAACAATATTAATCATTCATATATTTATAATAATATTAAAAAAAAATATATATATATACCACAGTTGCGTTTAGTAAGTGTATTTATTTCATCCTGAAGTTTTCTTGTTGCATTATTAGAATCTGGTGATATACCAGGAGAAGAATGATTCATATTAATTTGTTTTTTTAAATCATCAAGTGTTTGTATTAGTTGTGCATTTTCTTCCTCTAGCATTTGCATACGTTTATCTTTCTGAGTTATAGCAGATAAACAACCAAGATCTGATATGCAACTGTTAATTTACAATTTATAAATATATAAAATTATATCAAATACTTCTTTTTTATAATAAATATAAAAAAATAATAAATTTTACTTGCCTTCCTTGAGTAAAAGTAAAACCAACAAATGGTAAATGTAATGCAGAAAACGCAGAATTTGCTGCTGGTGGAACAGCATCAGAACTACGAACATCTGTATCATCAACATCAAAATTTGATGTATCAGTTGGTGAAGAAACTTCAGGAATATAAGGTGCAGTACTGTCTCTAAGAGTATCCCAATTTACTCCTTCAAACCATGGATGTTTCTGTTTTTAATTAATAAATAATTATATAATCATAAATAATTATGAGTCTTATTATTAGTACTAAATATTTTATGAAATGTAATTTTTTATTTATTATTATCATATTATATTTTTAAATAATTTATTAATATTATATATTTATATTAAATATCTTAATTACTATAATATATATATATTTGTATTAAATATATTAATACCTTAAAATCGTCAATTCCATTTTGACCTAATCTAAATTCCGAACTACATATTAATTTTCTCATTAAATCTTTAGCTTCTTCAGAAACTTCATATATATCATCTGCTGGAAAGTCAAAGCAATTCTGAAATTAAATAAAATATATATTAGAATATTTAATATATACATATAATAATTAAGATCATTACTATAAATATTATTATTATATTATTGCATTATAAATAGTTTAAATTATTTAATAACCTTATGGTTCATAATTTTTCCATAAGTTTCGACTAGAGATTCTGCATAGAAAGGTGTTTCTCCATATAACATTTCATACATACATACTCCTAAAGACCACCAATCACATTCAGGTCCATATTGTCCTTGTCCATCTTCCATTGCCTAAGAATTTTAACATTTTTTTTAACATTTATATAATTGGTAAAAGATTAATTAATATTATATAATATAGAAATTATAAAAATAATGTTTAAAAATAATATAAAAATATAATTTTACCCTTAAGATTTCTGGAGAAATATAATCTGGTGTACCAACAGCAACATTACTTTGTGCAGTTCCATCTTCAAATAATCGTAAACAAGATCCGAAATCTGCTAATCTAATATGACCATTTGCATCTAATAAAACATTATCAGGTTTAATATCACGGTGTACATAACGTAAATCATGTATGGACCCAATAGCCAGAACCATTTCAGCTATATAAAAACGTGCCATATCTTCAGGAAGGCGATCTTCAAATTTGCTCAACAGTGTTAACAAATCTCCACCACAGTAATAATCCATGACCAAGTACTGCATATGATTATTTAAAAGATATTTTTAAATTTATAAATATTAATAATTTTTATTAATAATGTTTATATAAATATTACCAAATTATTGTCATCTTGAAAGGCATAATGAAGATTTGTGATCCATCTACGATCACCATATACCAATACATCTCTCTCTTCTCTAAAGTATGCAGTTTCTGCACGCTTTAACATTTCCCATTTATTCAAAATTTTCATTGCAAATACTTTATCTGAACCACGCATTCTCACAACACATACTTCACCAAATGCACCTCTACCAATAACTTTTACTATTTCAAAATCTTCTCGTGCCAATTGCAAACTCTTTATGCAAGTAGCCACTGGTTTTACTATAAAAACATAAATTTTATTAACAAGAAATTTATTATTCTTTCAAAATATGTTATGTATATATAATGTACCAAATTCAATAAAATCTGAGACAGTCTTTTCACGCCTTAAGGAAGAATTACAACATTCATCATATAAGACAAGTAAAATATCAATAAGTGTCTCAATAGAAAATGTATGTCCTATTCTTCCTTCTCCTTGAACAGGACCACCAATAAAAAGAGATTCTAATTGGCGTAACCTTCCTCCTATGCCTATAAAAACAATTTTATTTAATTCTCTCAATATTTTTTTATCTATAATATATATATATTATAAAATCATTTTTTATATATTTGAAAATATACCATTGATTGCAAGTCCCTTTGGCATAATATCAGGAGGAGGTTGATTATATTGATGCTGCGACGAATCTGACATGTCTCTTTTTCGCATAAGTTGTCCTTTACCAAAATTTTTGGACACTATTTCTGTCATTTTTAATAATATTATTCAATAATATCTCAAACCACCACATTATGATGTGATGTCTATCCTAAAATATCAAATTTTTATATAACATTTAATATATAATAATTATATTAATAATTATATTATATATTTTTTGTTTTAATTGAAATTAATAAAATGAATACATATTATAACATATATAAAACAAATATTATAACATATTTGTTATTTAATTAAATCTCTCTTCTTTTTTATTTAATTGAATAAGTTTTTTTCATATTCATATTATATCATATTATAAATATAATCATATGAATATTAATAATTTGACAAATATTTTAAACATAAATATAAAATATACAATAGAAATATTTATTGAAATTAATATCTGATTATACATAATTATTATTTAGTTAAAACATCATTTTTTAAATTAAATAATATTATAAATAAAATATTTAAATATTTAAAAAATTTATGTTATAATATATTTTTATCTGTAAATATAGAAAAATTATTTAAAAATATAATATTTAATAAATATAAATATATATTCATTTACCTTAAAAAGATAATTTCCACTAGACATATCTAAATAGATTCACTTTCACTGTTTAAACATTAATTTTGTTTACAACCATACAGCAATCATTTTCCGACCATGTTATCGGTACATGATCAGTACGCTTTGAGCTTCTTTTATCCTTATGCAAAGAATGTCAAAAATCAATTCCCTTTAACTTAGCATGGTATATATGTCCACACACCACTATGTGTAAAACAATCGAGTTTCATTTAATTCATCATCGGCCATGGTGCCGGAATTACTCACATCGGAAATTACGTAACTGCTATAAAGATAGCCAAAATATTTGGCGAAGAAAACACGCAACAAGAGAAATACGTGTAAATAAAACGTATAGACAAAAATAGTGCAACGGGGTAGGGCACCGCATTCGCGATTAACGAGTTCAACAAAATCACCAAGACAACTCGTATTGTAGAAGAAATCGGTATCTGTATAGTAGAACTATACAGTACTTATTTAATGAAATAATTATAAAATGAAACGTACATAAATATTTAAGCCCATTGTCCCAATTTCTAGTATAACCTCGTCGAGGCACTACACTCTCATTCCGATCAAATTTGTGACGTAAAATTCCTATCGCATGTGAGAAAGATGTTTTGAGTGAAAGGCTTTTTCTTTGTCGATTCGAACTATTTGCTCAAATGATTCAAACATATCTGCTGAAACAACGCGTCACGCTATAATATTGGTTTAATTGTTTATTATGCGCACCATTCGTTTATCACAAAACATCTTGCATGGCCACCTCCAAACCCCCAACAATTTGGTTGACCCCCTAGTAGGCCTCATATAGAAAAAAATATGGCAGTCTACGTCATTGAAAATACCTATGATAACTCAGAATATAGATAGATTTACTATTTGAAAATTTTTTATCGAAGAATATAAAATGAATTAATAATAATAATTTTATTACATCGAAATTATCAAATTATTTATATAATTTGTTTTTCTTTTTTAAATATTTTTATAAACAATAACAATTATAATTAAATATAAATATTTCTTACAAATAAAGTTAATAATTAATGAGCTAATTGTATCTAAAAAAAATATGTATCTAAAATAAAAATATAAATCTTTTAATTTTTAAAATTTTATTTTTAATATAAAAAATTTGATATTATAAGATATAACATCGGTATTATTTGTGACCAATCATATTTAAAAATTTAATTTCAAAATCTTTGGAACGCGATCTTTTATTTTCTAATATAAAAACACTTTTTAATATTTTGTAATAATTTTTTTGATAATAATATGTATTTTATTTTAATTTAATAATAAAAGAATCTTAAATCTTTTAATGTAAGTATAATCATAAAATAATGAATTTAAGCATATATACGTGATAGAATAATGAATATTAATAATATTATAGTAAAATCTTTTTAATTTTTATTAGAATTACATAATTTTTTTATTGATATAATTATGAAATATAATATTTTTTATTTATAATTTTACATTATATAAAATTATAGAAATTATATGATAAGTAAGAATGTATATAAATTTTTGAGCGCTGCAATCGATGCAGAGTTGCCGATCATCTCGTATATTTATTATACGACTTTTTGATTTTGGTTACTTTTATTAAGAAAAATTTTTAAAAAGATATTTAAAGAATATTTAATAAGGTTTAACAATAATTTAGAAGCTATTATTCAAGTAATTATAATAATTCGTACTCAGTACATTGTGGAATGTGCGAGGAGGAGCTACTGTGTTACGCAGCTCTGCATGATGCCATCCGAAAAATGCGTAATAAACACGAAGAATTCGTGTCTTATGCATTATCGAGTTAACATTTTACCACTCGACGTGAGATATGAACTGTTTAATTGGAATGCATTTACGACTAAACAATATAAATCCGTATTTCTTATTTTTACTCGGTAGCACGTATACGTGGCAACAGAGCAAAGTTGTCGAGTGCTCTGTCACTTCCTAGTCAAAAGAAATTCTTCGAGCACAAACAATAATATATTTACACTGTTAAAATAGTAGAATACGGTGTAACTTTAAAAGAATACTGAAAATAGAAATCAATAACTTCCGTAAGTTTTAATATTATTTTCTTTTTTTATTTTGATATTATTATAGCAATTCATAAAAAATTCTTTAATAAACAACATTTAAATTATCTATCTTTCAATAACAGTTTTATTTTGTATTTACAAATTTTTTTTCATATTTTTAAGAAGAATAGAATATAATAAAATAAAATAAATATAATTTGAATAGTTGGTACGTTAAATAAATTTACTTTATTATCTTTTATTTTGTCAATATAGGTATATTGTATTTACTGATATATTTATGATTTTTGTATATATAATAAGCTGATGTTGGCTATATTTCTAAATGGCTCCATTTTTATTATTGTCCTCCTAATAACACAATGGAGGAGCCAGCAAAGAAAAAACAACGTATTGAAAACAATGAAATTGAAAAAGATACATTATCAGATATTGAGCAATTACAAAATAGTCTATTGGCACAATGCTTATGTAATATACCAGAAAGTAGTTTGCGTAAACCATTTACTAGTGCAACAGTGGAAGCTGCAGATGGTACTTTCAGATCTTCATTATTATCAGAATGGGAACCTGATCAAACTTTGGAATTCATAAGTGCTTTACAGCTTTTATTTGATTTAGCCATTAAACAAAACATTAGAGGTGTTATGTGCAGAAGAGTTGTAGATGTTTGTGATGCGCTGGCGCGAAACGAGCATAGCATTATAGATCAAATAATCGACCTATCATGTACAACAAATAAATTTATATCATTTGCGGCTAGCAGAGTTCTTGCATCATTTTTTATTATAACAAAAGAAAATATTGACACAGCATGGTTAGAAAGATTAACGCAATCTTTAGTAAATACTCATTCTCCAAGCCAAATGCTATTTACATTGGATGTTGTAAAAAGAGTTGTGGAACACAAGGACTGCAGTATTCATCCTTTTGAGGACACAGACAATATAGTATCACCATCAAATTGTAATACAATATCAATTTCAGATGCAGAAAGTTTTGACAGTACACCAGTAAAAGCAATGTGTGTCAAAGCATTAGAATCTAAATGGACTATATTAGTATCAAAATTTGATGCTATTTTAAGTTCATATACACCTCAACATGAATCAGCTGTTATTACATTTCTTGATTTATGGGAATCTATTATTTCTGTTAAAGCCAATTTATCTGTTATTGATACCAAACTTTTTTATTCTCAATTAGACAACCTTGTTGTACTTTTAAATGCCAATGTTCCTGGTGTAATTTGGAGACATCTTCTTGGATTATTTAATGAAGTATTGTGTTATGGAAGTACTTTGGCATTACAAGATGTATTACCAGATGAACCTTGTTCTCTTGCACATTTGATTGTAAGAGCTGTTAAAGATTGGAGATTATTGGATGCCCTACCATATAGATATGGTTCTGGAAGATTTGGAGGAGGTTCTGGTGAAGGTGATCGTCCCCTTCTACAAAAGATAATACTTTTAGTTTTAAAAAGTGTTGCTGTGACTGTTAAAGAGACACGTAGCGATTCTAGTGACTCTTCTTTGGGTTCTGAAGCAGAAGATCTTGATGCTGATATGGCAGTTATTGAAAGAAGTATTAGAGAAGTTTTACGACAACTTGACCAGTGCGTTAAAACTTTAATGCCATTTCATCCTGAAATGCCTTTATCACAATGGGTTGTACAAATGTTTCATGATCAAGATGATTTTTTGATTGAAGGCATGGTATGTTGTTTAGATGTAGCTGTTGGTTTATTTTATAGAGGACCTCCACAAAATGATCTTGGTCATATGCTTAGTCCAACTTTAACTTTTATACAATTTATACATGCTGTATCACATGATCCAGATGTCTTATTAGATTTACTTGTTAGTAATGAGACTTGTTTCTTATTATACTTATTGCGATTTTTAAAATATGTTAAAAGAAATTGGACAGAATTTGTTTCTTGTTGTGGAAGAGAACTAGATGATACCATGACAATATTGATAAGACTTCGTTTAGCAATTGATAGATTAGTTTCTAAAGCTTTGTTTCCTTATAACATAAATCCAGTTCTACGTTTGTTAGAAAAATGTGAATCCTTCTATGAAGGAAATGTAGATAACTAATTACTTGTATGAGATTCAAAATTTCACTTTAGATTGATCACTAGATTGATGTACAAATTGTAAGAATAAAAGTTTATTATCATTTGATTTATCAATCAAAAAATAATACAAAATTTTATTAATTTCATTTTGATAAACGACTGAATTATGCTACTGTCTTTTGTAGTACTGAATATTTAGAATAATATTAAAAAATTGCAAACAAAAATTTTTTATTTATTATAATTAGCAAAATTTCGTTTATTTGAAATTATTATTAAAATTTACACAAGAATTATATTTGCATTTCATAGTTGAAGTATAAATAGATTGAAGTAGTACAAAGATTAGCTAAAATTAAATGCTTCACAATGAAATTGCACTTTTTATGGTGCTATGAAAATATATTTGCCAAAGCACCATTGGAAATAAATTTAAATGTATATTACTAGAGTAATATTTATATCTATACATAAAAGTTGAATGTACAATTTGCCAGTCAAATAGAATTATGTAAGTTTGATTCTGATGTGCATTATTAGATATATATATATATATACTTTTTTACATTACTAAATTTATATGAAATTTACAAACAAATCAAAATGCGATATAAAGATTTTTATTAAAAAATATATTGAAAAAATACATAATGTGAAAAATGAAAATTTTTGATTTTTAAAACTATAATTATGAAAGTTTAAATTATATGAATATATTGTTTTTTGTTCTTAACAATTGAATTAATATTTTATGCCAGAGATATTAAAATATTTAATTGTATTTTTTGATCAAAATTTATAAATAAATTCATTAGTTTATTTAATAATTGTTTAATATGATTTTATAATTTTTTTTTTATTATATCCATGTACTTAAATACAGGTGTAAAATTCAATAGTGTTTATTAAAATGAAACATTGTCATATTGTCATGATAATTATTAATTATGTATAAATAATAATAATGTAAAATATTGCAAGTATAAATGTAAAGTTACTGGCAATATGAATGAAAGTTATTAAGATTTAAAAATATGCCAGTATTAATAAATTATTACATACAAATGGCAATAATTGTTCCTAAATTAAAGTTAAGAACAATATTTGCCATGATTATTTTGGAGTTGTTAACAAATTAAAATATTTGTATATATTAATTGTATGTATAATGTTCATTATGCATACCTAAAAATTAATTTTGTAAGTATACTTTACGTAATATACTAAAAATCTACATATTTTTACTTTTATAATTATAGTGTAACTTTATTTATCATTCCCCTTTGTAGATCTTTTAATAGTATTTGCAATTCGTATGTATAATGTAAAGATAATAAATTAAAAAATAATAAATTATAAATATAATAAAATGTTAATAACGATTGGAATAAAAGTTAATGAAATTTGGAATTAAGATGAAATATTCTATATTCTTGTACATTACCAATTTATTTTAATTTACATCTTTATAAAACTAAGGTATGTATCTATAAAATCTAATATGAATTATAGATTATCTAATATTAATATCCAAAATTTAATCTGTTTTTTCAAAATCAGCATTTGAATAAAAATAAAACAATTTAAGAAAAATAAATCTTGACTGAAATAAGAATAATTATATGCTTTAGGATTTTAGTCGAATATTCCATCTCCAAAACACAAGACTGCATTTTAATGTGTACAAGAATAATCGCGTAGAAAAAATGCAAATTTAAAAATAATTAAATTATTCCATGTATGAAAACATTTTGAATATATATAAAATAATCATTAATTAGAACTATTGTACATGACTTGTAAAAATACTTACATATATGAATAAATTTCTGAGTGTACTATACAATTATTTTATTTTAATGAAATGTGTAAAAAATTTATGGCAATATCAAATTTATAAAATTTATTAAAATATTTTATTTTGTATTTTACAGTTACTTATTCTAGATATAATTTCAAAACATTTTTTTTGTTACAAAATAAAATTGTATCAAATTATATTTTTCTTATTACACTATTTTATTTTTTTTAATATATTAAAATTTTTTTTATTTTAAGATTATATTTTATTTTGAAATAAAAATATAAATCTTGTATTTTTATAATATTGTCGAAATCTTTCTCTCTTCTTTCTTCTCTCTCTCACTCTCTCTCTCTCTCTCTCTCTCTCTCTCTCTCTCTTTCTCTCTT